TAGCCAGGTGTGGTGGTGCACGCTTGTGGTCCCAGCTACTCAGGAGGCTGAGGCAGGAGGATCACCTGAGCCCAGGAGGTCGAAGCTGCAGTGAGCTGTGATCATGCCACTGTACTGTAGCCTGGGTGACAGAGTGAGACCCTATCTCCAAAAAACAAACAAACAAAAAATATCAAAAGACACCAAATTCAGCAAATGTGAATTAAAATGCATCACTCTTATAGTGCATCATGGCAAAAATCAAAGCAATGGATAATGCACTCTGATTGCCCATTTATGGGAAAAGGCATATAGTGCTGCTAGGAGTACACATCAGTATATTCTAACTGGAGGGCAATTTGACAGTTCTGAATCAAAATTCATGATGTACATAAAGCTGACCTAGAAATCTCACATCTGGCATACTCACATGCAGGCAACAGAATGTACTGTACATTGCTATGCTGTTTATAGCAGGTAAAGACTAGAAATACCTTAAATGTTTTTTTTTTCATTGACCACTGGTGATCACTGAAATGTTCATCACTAGGAGAAAGGTAAATAAATACTGGTGTCTGTGCAATGAAATACCAAGCAGCCGCTTCTGCAAACGAGATAGACCACTGGTTGAAACATTGGATAATTCTATCCCCTAGGGGATATTTGCCAATGACTAGAGACACTTTGGTTGCCAAAACTGGGGGAGGGATTCTACCAGCACCTAATAGAGATAGAGGCGAGGGACCCTGCTACACATACAATGCACAGGAAAGCAGCGACAACAAATTATGGTCAAATCACAATGACAATAGTGCCGCACTGAGAAACCCTAGGGACAACTAAATACAAGTAAAGTGGAATGATCATGAAGACAAGACCAAAAGGACCAGAATGAGCTCGAATTTGTTAGAGAAAAGGAATGTGAGAGTGAGAGCTACCACTTACAGGAGTGAGCAGAAAAAGAGATTCACACATCCAGACAGATAAGCATATACATTCTCTGAAAAGCTGTACCAAAAAATGAAGGAATCTTGAGGATGGGAGAATTATTTTTTGCCTTTTCTTAAACAAAGCTTTCATTTGAATTTTTACCATGTGTATGCATTACTTTTAAATGTTCAACTTATTAGTGCTCTATTCAGAATATTTTTTAAATTTTGACATCCATATTCTTAAGGGAAACTGGTATAATTTTCTTTTTTGTAGTATCTTCCTCAAACTTCAGGTTAAGTGGCTTCCCAAAAAGAATTGGGTGCCTTTTCATCTTTAATAGACTGGAAAAGTGGAACACAGAAATTATCTAGTCTTTACATTTAGTGAAAGGAGTAATTATGAAGGATTTCAGAGGGCAAATTTAAGTCTCAGTACCTTTTAGTCAAAACCTGACTTCCAGGTATATCCTCCATAAACACTAGTACTACAGAGCAAGCAGATACAGAGAAAGTTGTTCATGAAGCATGGTTTACAATAGTAAAAAGAAATTAAAAACTTAAATATCCATAAATAGTTACATGATATTAATACATCCATACTATGAAATAGAAATTTAAAACATCTTTATATATTGACAAGGAATACCACCCAGAAAGTAATCAGGTGCAAAAAGCAAGATGGGTATGGGAGTACGATGCCATTTGTGTAAAAGCATAAAAAAAATACATATGTATATGTTTTTAGCTCATTAAATTGACATAAATGCATCTACCCGACCATTTAACCCAACTGTTAACAGTGGGCATCTCTGACGAGGAACATGGTACAGTGGGGAGAAGGAATGGAATCCCTTGGGCTACTGGTTTTTTCTATGCACATTAAAACATTATGCACAAACTTGTTATCCTAAATATGAATGATGAAAAAGATCAAGCGATCTAGAAGTGAAGAAAGAGGAAAAAGCAAGATCAATCTATGTATTTAAACAATCTTCTNAAAAAAAAAAAAAAAAAAAAATGTTTCTTGCACTGCAGAAAGTTATACATATATCCTCCTAAATTTTTACCCAATTTTTCAAATATATATTTAGGTCTTCATCCAATCTAGAATTCACCAAAAGAGTCTTTGCTTCCATACAGAGATTCAACTGTGCCACCATCATTCAGTAACCACTTTTTCCACATAACTGAAATGCCATTTTTATAATCTTGGCTCACAGAATCCTATATAAGCAATACAAGAAATCTAGAAGGCACAAAAGATTGTGAAATTAGACCACATTAACAAAATTTAACTGTCCACGCCGCAAAATGAATAAGACAAGTCAAAGAAAATGAAGTATGAAAAAATATCTGTAACATATATGACAGAGATCTTATTTACTTGCATTAACACAAAGAGCCAATATCCTGCAATCAAATTAATTCCACACCCAAGAGAAAAAGGGACAAATGACTAGAATAAATAATTGAAATAAAGAAGTACAAACGGTGTTTAAAAAAACAAAAAGAAGACCAGGCACAGTGGCTTACACCTGTAATCTCACCGCACTGGAAGGCCAAGGTGGGAGAATTGCTTGAACTCAGGCACTGGAGAACTGCCTGGCCCACACAGTAAGACTCCAGCTCTACAAAAAATTGTTAAATTAGCCAGGTGTGGAGGCATGCACCCATATTCCCAGCTACTTGGGAGGCTGAGGTAGGAGGATTGCTTGAGCCTGGGAGGTTGCGGCTGCAGTGAGCCATCATCACACCACTGCACTCCAGCCTGGACAACACAGCAAGACTCTGTCTCAAAAAACAAACAAGCCGGGCGCGGTGGCTCACGCCTGTAATCCCAGCACTTTGGGAGGCCGAGGCAGGTGGATAACGAGGTCAAGAGATCGAGACCATCCTGGTCAACATGGTGAAACCCCGTCTCTACTAAAAATACAAAAATTAGCTGGGCGTGGTGGCTCACGCCTGTAGTCCCAGCTACTCGGGAGGCTGAGGCAGGAGAATTGC